CAAATCTGAAAAAAATGGACCAGTGGTTTTCAAAGGAACAAATGCATTCACTTGTTTTACCTAAGATCAGGAAAATAGATTTAGACTAATTATTCTTTTGCAATTTATTCAATGAAAATAAAGTAGTTCCAGCTGCTTTTGTTTAAAATAGGCTTCTAGCTGGGTTTCCTTTGATGGTCTCCTGCACTGGAATAATGCTTCAATGTTTGGGCAGCAACTACTGTAGGAAAAAGTCAGTCCAATCAAAATGCTATTTTCATTTTAAAATAATTAAAATGATGTAAATACTTTTCTTCATGTTAGATTTTGTAAAGTGTATATATTTTTAAGGTATGTAACCCAGGAACCTAAACTCTTTGGCATTATCTTTAACAAATTATCTTGGTTCAATTAACTTATTTTTGTTACTCTTTGGATCCGACAGAATGCCTCCACTAACATTAGACTGGGTCATACTCAACAGATCATTTGGAGGCAACATCAATGGAACCATTACAACCAGTCTCATTATAGTGTATCACACTCAAAACTTTGGGCTCTGAGGCCCATATTTTGCACATTTTAGACTCTGCTCCTTTATATTTTTCCTGCTTTATTTTCATCCTTTATGTTTTTATTGTTATTTTTTCTACAAAACGGAAGTGGTAACTCATGGCTGGGTGGAGCCTGGGTCTTTTCCTTTCACCACCATGTCATCTCTCTTTGAAGCCTGTTGCTACAGGCCCCTGGAGTATATCTCCTCATCCATTCTTTATTGTGGCTACCCTATATTTAGGCCTGGGGCAGTTGTTTATCTTGCAGCCAGTCCAGTTCATGCTTTCCCTTCCAGAGCTGACAGGCAGTCTTCAGCAGAGGCTTTTCCCTTTGAAGCAAGCAAGAGGGATTGCGAGCACTCTCTCTTGCCGAGCAAACTGGCATTTGATTATGCCATGGTCTCTGTCAAATGTTGCTCCCAGCTGCAGAGGTCTTGAATTCTTCAGGATTTTGGGATCAGGGTAGGGGTGCACAGATATGAGATTTTGGGGAGGTGACACCAATAGCCAATTTTTAAGGGGGCATATTGGCCAATACTGATCCAATTTCTGATACTAGCCCAGCAGCTTGAAGAGTTGTCCAGCTGGTAAGTCTGTCGTGGTAGAGGGGAAGGGGATAGGGAAGGGGTGTGGAGGGGGTGCAGATCAAGGCTCCTGTGGTGAGGGAAGAGTGAGGCTGTGGTAGGGGGCTGGGGCAGGCACTGCCCAGCTGGGGCAGGGCAGGGCATGGGACGGAGCTGCGGCTTGTCTGGGGGATGTGGAGAGGGAGGGAGTGGCTCCTGCTGCTATGTGCACCCCAGAAGAGCGGGGGGGGGGGGCACGTGCCCTGGATGTGCACAGGGCAGGGCAGGCAGCAGCCGAGGGCTGCGCTGGGCTCTTCCCAGAGGGGCCTGGTTCAGGCTGCACTCGGGGTGGGTGGTGGTGGCTCTGGGAGGGGGCTCCAGGGGGGCTGCAGCCACACCAAAATTCGCCATAG